GACGAGTTCCAAGACCTGGGTCACAACATGAGACATCCACTCAGTTACACAAGACACACTGAAGGAACGAGACTAACTGGTCTGGGTCCAAGACAGACAAGTTGTAACATTTATAGTTTCATTACACCATGTGGACTACACCTCAGCTAGCTCCGTGACATAACAAGTTATACATGTGTAATTACCTCCTTTGGCATGAAGACAGGGGGTGTGGTCAAGTTGGGCGCCACTGGAAACAAAAAGCTAAGCTAACAGAAGAGTTAGTAACGGTTTGACTCATGTGCATGTGATTCTTTAAACATAAAGTTTTCATTCAATAAGATGATAACAGGACTTGCTGGTGATGTTCAACAACAATTTGGCAACATCAAAAAGCAGCCATGTTGCTACAAAGTGTCAAACCAGAGCTGTGAATGACTGAGGTTAAAAGAAATATGACGAGTTGAGACCTAAAAAATAGGCTGGTGATGAACAGAAATGGCATCCATCCACTGTAGCAGAGATCACAGCGAGCTGAATCCCTGTGTCTGAACATGATGAAGTAGAATAGCTGGTGTTTTGTTTTTACAACTGCAAACAATTAGAAGCAAGCAAACATTTATTTATACAGCAATTTCAGAACGACTCCCAGCTAAACACAAAGTGCTGTACACGTCACACAGAAATGATACATTGAATAAGTAAAAAAAAAAATTAAAATAAAATAAAGGTAAAAATAAAATAAGATGATAATTAAAATGACATTTAAAACAATAAAATGAGCACATTACATTAAAACGACAAAATCAGGGTCATGCTGTGTCATATGCCAAAGAGTAAAAATGGGTTTTAAGACGTGTTTTAAAAGTGGACAGTGAAGGGGCCTCTCTAATGTGCTGGGCAAGATTGTTCCACAGATTAGGAGCAACAATAGAGAAGGCCCCGCCCCCTCTTGGACCTGGGTACCTCCAGGAGCAGCTTGTCAGCTGACCTGAGAGACCTGGGGGGTGAGTAAGGATGCAGAAGCTCAGAGAGGTAAGGTGGGGCAAGACCGTTTAAACATCTAGATATACAGGCAGCCAATGGAGTGACCAGGATGGGAGTTATGTGCTCTCTTCTGGTTAAAAGTCGTGCAGCAGCATTTTGGACCAGCTGCAGACGAGAGAGAAGACGCTGACTAACTCCACAATACAGCACATTACAGTAATCTAAACGAGATGAAATAAAAGCATGGATTACTGTTTCAAAATACGGCCTGAGATAAATAGGTCTTATCTTTGCCAAACGCCTTAAATGATAAAAACTGGACTTGACAGTAGCCCTAATTTGAGTGTCAAACTTAAAATCACCGTCCATCCTAAAACACAGGTTTGTAACAACAGGTTTAAGATACTCTGCCAGGGGTCATGATTCACAACAGGAAGTCATTTACTATTCAGCAACTGAAGGTTTTTAAGATAAAACCACAGGATTGGAATCTGTGGCTTTAAAAGAAAATCAAATGAAAACAGACTTTCTCAGTTTGTTGCCCCTAATAATTAAACACTGCTGATATTGTTGCGTTCTCACTGACTTTGTGACCAATAAGCCACTTTAATCGAGTCCTTTGGTAAAATGTATCATGCGAGGAGTTGAAATGTAACTTTTTTATTTTGCTATTATGTATTTGTTTCCTTACTTTGAATTTATCATTATTTATCTCAACTTCACCTTTAACCTTGTTTTTGTTATTTATTGTTTTATATTATTATCACTATTTTATCTTCTTTTTACTTTCTTACTACATTATTTTGTTGTTTATTCTTCTTACTTAATTTTTTGATGAAAAAATTATTGATATTTGTTTGTACTTTGTTATTACTCTGGTTTCTATATTAATTGATTGTTGGAGCTTAATCTTAAGATTTTTATTTTCATTTATGTGTTTATTATTCCTTTGTCGCCTTGCTGTGATGTAATTGGCCTTCAAGTTTCTTTAATATGGTTAATCACAGTTAATTTATAATTTCTTACTTTTTGACATTATTTGGGGCCCTGTGGGGGAAAAACATCCAACTTTGGGCCCCACCACTTTAATATTGTAAACCATGCTGACTCTAAAAATATGATACTGTGCAGAAATTGATCAAGATTTTGCTTCGATGTTTTGATTTTGTGTAAAACTGATGAGATATCTGCAAATCTTTTTTTTTTTTACATTTTAATGTTTTTAATAATAACATTATTAGATATATGATGTAGAGATATAGAGAAATTAAAAAGAAATTAAAAGTGACACTAAGTTAACACTCAGATATGTAGTGGCATTTTAAACCATTAATCACAGAATGAATAAATGTGTGGCGCCTCGCATCGTGCATTATCAACATCACACCTTATACTCCAGACAGCGGGGAAGACAACACTTAAATAACCTGATGTTAAATATGAAAACGTGTTGCTATAGAAGATGTTCACGGATTACTTACAGCGAGGAGGTACTACTTACAGCAAAACGCAGTAGAAGACAAGACTTTCCTACACCAGAGTCTCCAATGAGCAGGAGCTTGAACAGATAGTCACTGAAATACAAAGAACAAGGCTGAAAAATTTCCACTGCAATAAAAAACAAAAACAGTGGGAAACATTTTATAATACGACCCGACTAAGTGCAAATCCCCCTTTAATTAAATGGAACCATTGTTTTTATAATTTCAAGTAGGGATGCTCAAACAAATGTGTACCAAGTCACAACAAAAACAGAAATATACCATAATATACACAATATTACCTCATCTTACAACAATCAGACCTATGTGACTTTATAACAATGGATAATGCAACTTTTTTCCTTTTACAATTACTGTTCAAACACAACTGTCAAAAGGAGCGTGCAGATAAACGTTAGGTAAGGTTAAGCTGATACGACTCGACCCCTGAAAAGTGCCGCGTTCTTCAAATCAGCGGTGGGCGATATATCGAGTAGACTCGATAAAGGTATGGCAAGTGTTTCCACAGACAACGGTTAAAATGGCTTTACTGAAACAAACCAGTATAAATTACCACGGCAACATTCACTTTTTTTCTTCCACACACTGTGAATGCATCATTTATCGCCCCCTCCCAACTGGAGAATATTCTACCCGGCACACTGCAGTGAGCATGTGTGTTTGTATCCCACCAGACACGGAATAACAGCGCCAGGAGGAGCTTCAGGTGACGGTGAACAAAATGCAGTAATTTGCAAAACATGCTGTAAAACTATTGCTGCAAAAGGTAAAGTCGGAAAAGTCGAGCTGCAAAAGCACGAATGTTTTAAACGTCTCCCCACACGCCAAAGAAAACGTTAAGCTGTGACAGCTGTGGCTGTTCGTGGTCAGTCATTTTCATAGCCACTATCTAGACTTTTGTTTCTGTAATTTGACGGCATCACGTTTTTTTAAATTGTAAATATTTTATGTTCACAAAAAAGCA